ATTTTCAGGTTCTATTTAACTAGTTGGCTACTGATTTTTACGGGGATGTATATAAAGGGTTTAATTGTATACGATTGTAGGGGACCATCTACCAACATTACAGCAGTGTCGCTTCACGATGTGGCACCCTGTCCATCTCCGCAAACAAACTACATCGAGAAGAAAATAAATGTCCGACTGATTCAGAAAAATGACTATTCCAAAATAAAAGTAAAAATTTGTCTTATAGAAGTAACACGGTTGATCAGGTATTGTGGTATGAATAGTCATGTTAGTGATGTCCACCAAGGGTTGATGAAAATCATCAGGCCAATTGGACGAGATGAGTGTCGAAAACTTCATAATACTGGTACTTATATAGGATATTCAGGGAATGTTATTTCTAATATAAAAGTAAATGCCACAACATCTGCATCAATTACCGTTGCTGGGAAGTTATCTATGAACGGAGATTGTGAAGGAACAGTTTATACAGAAAATGGTCAGACATGGTCTAGGGTAGTTGTTACTGCAGCTGTTACATTTATGTTAAAAGAATATTATGCCACTATCGCTTTGGATTCTAATGAAATATCATTGATGGGAGGAGTTACATGTCCATTTGTAGATGGATACTGTATGGATGTTGAAGCAGGTGAAACTATTTGGGATGAAATAGAACAAGGAGCTTGTAAGAAACGGCAATATTCAATTATTTATGAAGGTATTGGAACAGAAGTTTCAGTAAGTAGTCAGGATACAGTTGAAAATTATTTGGTTGTTGAGCAAGACGAATACATCTTTGCATTGAATCTACTAAGGAAGGGTATTGTATGTAACTATGAGGTTTGGGTTACCGAACATCCTCGATTACTAGTAACAAAATCTAAAAATGCTTTTTATCATTTAAATTCTAAAACTCATGACGTCAATAATATAAATCTGTTGACATATGTTAATTCAAAATTTATGTATATTGAAATTTCGTCAAAATTATTGTTTAGAGAGTTACATGTTCAAGCAGTATATCGAAGATGTTTAATAAAGAGAGAAGTATTGAGAAATAGATTGTTGATGGCACCTTTAAATACAAATGCTATTGCCAGTATTTTCAAGACTTCTCTGGGGTATATGGGAAGGGTTTTAGGGGAAGTTTTATACATCATTAAATGTGAACCAAAAATCGCAGAAGTGCGAAGGGTTGATAAATGCTATAATGAATTGCCGATACTGGTTAATAACAATGAGTCATTATTTATGGCTCCAATCACACATGTAGTGCAAGAGCATGCCGAAGAGATAATGTGCTCTCCGGTAGCTCCTTCACTATTTTACATAGAGAACCGATGGGTAGGATTTAGTCCATATCCCACAGTGTATAATTCTCCAGCTTCTTTAGAAATTAACGATGAAAATAATATAAAATTTAGTCCTATTCGAAATTTGGGAAGTGGAGGATTGTATACTCAAAATGAAATTGATAAGATTCAACATAATTTTCTGTTTGGATCCGAGCGTGATGCAATTACCTCATTTTTAGTCAATCGGGTTGCAGGTAGAACTGATGATTCAAACCAGTACGACACAACAAAATTATTTAGTTCAAAAGAAATTAAACGAATCGCTAAGTCGACACTAAGTTATGCTTGGGGTTGGTTTACCGATATTGGGATTTTTATGTCAGGATTTATGGGAATATACATAGCATTTATCATCCTAAAATATATTTGTTCAGTAATTTTAAATGGTTTTGTTTTATACCAGGCTCTGGGATGCGGATTTTCGATTATTGCCAGTTTTTGGACGACTTTAACTTCATGGTTTTTACATCGAAGTTATAATCACAAAGTATCAGATCCAGAGAACCAGGAANTATTCAAATTTTTAATTTTGTTACTATTTTTAAATAAAACATCTCTCCATTTGATTTATTTCGTCTTCGTTTTACTTTTTAAAATGGCACAGAAGCAGTTTCTCTTTTATAAGATCGAGTGCTTCAACATTCGCGGATTCAACATTCGCGACGTATTTTCAGAACCTAACCCTCGCGAATGTTGAGGCCTTACTGTATTAAGAAGTAAAGAAAAGAAAAAAAAAAACAAACAAAACAATACATATGTATATGTTATGAAGAAAAGCGAAAATTAAGTTCCAATTGTAGTTGACACAGCCAGTTAACAGTAGTAACGATGATGCTCTACAAAGAAAAAAAAATCTTGAATAGATATATTGCTTGAGTAAAAACTTAAACGAGTATTGATAACGTACAGATTAAATTCGTTAATTGATGGCAGGGCGACCATGTTGATGAGTATTTAAAGCATTAGTTTTATAAACATATACGTATGTACTTTATAAGAAAAAAAAATTTCAATTTCTTTTTGTAATAGAGTTAAGTTTATTTTGATGTTTAATTATGTATTGGATTTTTGATAAAATTGTTGATGACACTTGGATGATACAAAATATTTCTGTTTTTTTTTAAATAAGTTGTTGGTAATGCGTAACCAACATCTTAATTAAAGGGGGGAGTAATGTAACAAGTCAGAAAAGATATCTATATTTAATTCGGGGAAGTACAGAAATATTTTGGGAGTGGGGACAACGGATGAGGGACTCGCGAGAAGGGAAGAGAAGAAGAAGTTAGAGGGTCGAGAGTAGTCGAGAATTAGAGTCGAGACGTGGGTAAAGTGTGGGAGTGAAAAGTGGAAGACTAAAAAAAAAAAGAGAAAAATAAGAGAAGAGAGAGGTGTCAATCAACCCAAAAAAAACATTATGTGAGTACTAGATAGAATTATTTACTGTTTTTTTTTTGTTTTATATTTGATTTGTGTCTAAAAGAAAATAAACTAAAGTATTGTCATTAATTAATTCAAAGTTTTATTTATCTTTTGTTTTTTGACATCCGCCGCTTGATCCTTTCCCCCTTGTCTTTTGACATACTTGACCACGTTACGAGGCTCCTATAAAGAGTGGACCCGAGGAGAATACCCTTCTCCGAGAATATACTCAGGGGTCTCTTACCACCTCACGCTCGGGGATGGTAACATTACAAAAGTTGTTTTTTTCTTTTTTCTTACGTACATTAGGAAAAAACCACTCACCGCTGCAGAAATTTTTTCGGAACTGGAGCTTATGACTGCTTATGATATACCCGGTAATTCCGCTGATGTTTTTATTACACCCCTTGATGATAATCGGGATATCAGTGATGTTGATTCTGGAGACGAAGATTGCTATGATCCAGACAAATTGTCTGGTACTCAGCTAAAAGCGGAAGCTGAGCTGATAATCAGAGATAACAGAGGTGAAATGGTAGATGATGGTATACCCGATGATGATGATGACCCTCACCCACTCCCTAAAAGAAGAAAAAGAAAATCTGCGAAAAACACAAAAACTCTGAAAACAACAAAAACTTTAAAAAATGCTTCTTTTAAAAAGTAAGGTGATCTGCCTATTAGAGAACGTCCATGTGAAAATACTTTCGTATCCAGATCAGTTACATCTCTGAATAAAGACTCTTCTCCAATCGAATTTTGGGAAGTTTTTATATCACAGGAAGTAGTGGAGATGATTGTGACTCAAACTAACGAATACGCGAAGAAGAAAAACGACGATAAATTTTGTGTCTCGCAAGAAGAGGTTTATGTCGTTTTGGGTATTTTATATCTTAGCCGATATGTTCCACTTCCGCGTAAGTACATGTATTGAGAAATATCCGATGATGTCCACAATAGTTTGGTATCTAAGTCAATTAGACGAAACAGATTCAATGAAATTTTAAAGTATTTTCATGTTTGTAACAAATTTGAGTTGCCACAGAACGACAAAATGGGGAAAATCCGGAATTTTATGAATGTTCTAAATAGATCATTCATTGATAATTATCGAATTAATCGTTTTCTAGCTGAGAAGATGAATCTAGATGAATCCATGATACCTTACTTTAGTTGACATGGTTGTCGACAATTTATAAAAGGAAAACCAATTTGCTTTGGGTTTAAAGCGTGGACATTAGCCCAATCAAATGGGTACTCATGCTGACATATATCAAGGTAAGAGTGCCACTGAACGAAGGGGCGTAGGGTTGGGCGAAAGTGTAGTTATGGATAGTTGTAATGTTATGTCTGAAGCGTACCCAGGAGTGTCCTTCTCCTTTTACTTTGATAACTTTCTTACGTGCTCCAGACTTTTGACAGAGTTGTCAAGAAAGGGAATGATGGGTACTGGAACTATACGCGCAAACAGAATGGATAAATGTCCTGTCCATCGTCCCAATGACGATGAATAAGAAAGAAAGAGGCTTCTACAGAAGCATGATCGATAAGGTTGATAATATAGTGGCAGTAACATGGAAAGACAACAGCACGGTAAATATACTTTCTAATGAGCACGGCGTATAACCAATTCAAAAAGCTGCAAAATATTCATTTGCTCAAAGGAAAAAGATATTCGTACCACAACCAAACCTTATTACTCAGTACAATAAGGACATGGGTGGCGTGGATCTAAAGCCCCCCATCGACGGTCGAACATGTTGGCCAACATGTTGGGTCCGAGCGGCTCGGCCAACATGTTCGACCGTCGATGGACGCGCTTCCAACATGCTCGACTGATTTGTTGGGTTGGGCGCTCGGCTCGACAGCTACGGCCAACTCGAGCCCAACACCCAGCATGTTCGATCGTGGATGGTCAACCGTCGAGCGGCTCGACGAGAATGACGTCAGTTTAGACATCTTTTAATAGTGTTTACACTACATTGGAGTTACATTGGGTTAAAATGTCTTTTAACGATAATAAGAAGTTTTGGAGCGAATTTATCGAAATATACAGGGACNTATCCTTTTACATTGGATTGATGACGTCACGGAGGTGCGGAGGTGCAACTTCCTATCTAGAATCGGAAATAGAATCAGAAATAGTTTCTATACTACTTGTAGCTCCTTAGGGGAGCCGAAGTCGCCCATGGTTCATATATCAAAGTACCCTTAAAATTCACTAAAGAATCACCCCTTGAAGTTTGTTGCAGTCATTCAGATACACCCTGTATAGTAGACACTGACCGTAAACCAATGTTGGGCCGTGAATGGATACGACAATTGGGTATAACATTGGAGAACGTTTCTCAAATATCTACTGAAAATAGTGTACAAAAAGTTTTACAAAAATATCCTACTGTAACTCAAAGCTCCATGGGGAAAATACAGGGTATGCAAGCACGATTAAAATTAAAATCAAATACTACACCGGTGTTCATAAAAGCACGGAAAATACCCTATCCATTACAGTAAAAAGTAGGTGAGGAATTTCAAAACCTCGAAAAAGAAGGTATTTTAATGAAAGTTAAAAATTCTGAATGGGCTACACTCATTGTACCGGTCGTAAAAGCAAACGGGAAAGTTCGTATCTGTGGTGATTTTAAGGTCACATTAAATCCAAATTTAATTGTTGACGAGTATCCTCTACCCACAATTGAAAGTTTGTTTTCCTCAATGGCAGGTGGACATGAATTCACCAAATTAGATTTGCAACAAGCATATTTACAATTACCAGTACATTCCGATGACCAAAAATATTTAACACTTACCACACCAAGGGGTTTATTTCAATGTACACGTTTAATGTATGGCATTGCTAGTGCACCTACGATTTGGCAAAGAGAAATAGAAAATATTTAAAAGACATTCCTGGAGTATCTGTATTCCTTGACCATATAAAAGTTACTGCACCAGATGATGAAACACGTTTCAAACGATTAGATGAAGTTTTGCAAAGATTGTCAAACCATAATATACGTATAAATTTAAACAAATGTGATTTTATGAAAGATAAAATAGAGTATTGTGGATATTTGATAGATAAAACAGAAATTCATAAAGTTAAGAACAAAATGGATGCTATTCAAAATGCTAAAATACCTTCCAACAAAACCGAAGTCAGAGCTTTCGTAGGTCTTATAAATTATTATGGAAGATTCTTGGAAAATTTAAGTTCGAAATTATATCCATTATATAATTTATTGAAAAAACGACGTAAAATTCAAATGGAGCAGGGAATGTCAAAAAGCATTCACAATAGTAAAAAAAGAGATCATGTCCGACCGTGTATTGGCACATTTCGATCCTAAGCTGCCGTTAGTGTTAGCCACTGACGCAAGTCCCTACGCAATAGGTGCAGTACTGTCTCACGTTTACCCCGACGGTACTGAGAGACCAATTCAATTTGCATCACAAGGTTTATCAGAGGTTCAGCGAAGATATGCACAGATAGATAAGGAAGCCTACAGCATAATTTTTGGAGTAAAAAAATTTTAGTACTTGTATGGTCGAAAGTTTACACTTCTGACAGATCATCGACCACTAGTACACATATTTATTCCTGCTAAACACCTACCGACTCTATCAACAACAAGAATGCAACACTATGCTTTATATTTGCAAAATTTCCACTACGATATAAAGTACAAAAATACAAAAGAACATTCAAATGCTGATGCAATGTCTAGATTGCCATCAAATTCAATGGAAATTAGTAATTATGATGAACCGGATGCTTTTGAAATATTTCAAATTCAAAATTTACCTGTTACGTTTCAAGAAATGCAAAAAGAAAGCCTAAATGATACCAGTTTTTCAAAATTAATGCGTGGTTTATCCTTGGGTACACATGTAAATAAAGAAGATCGTTTTAACATTGATCAATCTGAATTTTCATTAAGCCCCCCATCGACGGTCGAACATGTTGGCCAACATGTTCTGTCCGAGTGGCTCGGCCAACATGTTCAACCGTCGATGGACGCGCTTCCAACATCCTCGACTGATTTGTTGGGTTGGGCGCTCGGCTCGACAGCTACGGCCAACTCGAGCCCAACACCGAGCATGTTCAATCGTGGATGGTCAACCGTCGAGCAGCTCGACGAGAATGACGTCAGTTTAGACATCTTTTAATAGTGTTTACACTACATTGGAGTTACATTGGGTTAAAATGTCTTTTAACGATAATAAGAAGTTTTGGAGCGAATTTATCGAAATATACAGGGACCAACGTTCGCTGTGGGATGTAAAACACATATAGTAACAAACACCTTCGCAAGGAAGGGTATACGGCATTAATCGATAAGGCAAAGGAAATATTTCCAGATTGTGACGAGAAATTTGTAAAAGCGAAAGTGGAATCACTCCGAGCTTCCTTTCGGAAAGAATTAAAGAAAGTGCAAAGTTCAAAACGGACCGAAAGTGGTCAAGATGACGTATATGAACCAAGTCTATGGTATTATGATTTAATGGTATTCACCAGCGACCAAGAAGTGGCTAGAAAAGGTGTATCGTCGTTGGAAAAACGAAAAAGAGATGAGGTGCCACTGGAGGACGAGGAAGAGAGTGGCGAGGACAAATTAGAAGAACGAGTTACAGTAAGTGTTTTTATTGTTAATACTAATTGTTTTAATAGACTATATTACTAATGAGTAATATTATAACATGACAAGTATCAAGGTATGACTTTAAATAAGTAATGTTTATTTCTAGAAACAAGACTTAACCTTTCTGTAGTCGCGTACGGTCTGACAGACTGACGATGTGTTCTCAGTCTGGGGATCGATATATTCGCAACCGTTCGATACAAAAAATTGCGGTAAAAATCATATATGTTATGTAGAAATGGTCATTGATTATAACAAATTTTATCGCAATTTTTTCCATTGAACGGTTACGAAGATATCCATCCCCAAACTGAGAATACCGGTCGGTCTGTTAGACATTACACGACTACAGAACGGCTAATGGAACTTATAGTACAAGATATATGTCAATTTAGGTTTTACAGAACATTCAACTATCAACGGTTATTATAACCCTTTAAGGACGATTGCCGTATATATACGTTTCACAAAAAACAGTCCCAGAGACGAACGCCGTATACGCAAAAGGTTTTGAGTGTCTTATGACCTATTGCCATTCATATACTGCTCAGTTTAAAATTTGTGTCTTATAGGCGAAAGCCGTTTTTAAACGGCACAAAATTTTGTACTGCACAGACGAGCGCCCTATGTAAGCGTTATTTTTACACACGTGGCCAATGTTCAAAAACACCACATGTTCTATATTTTTTTATAAGTGATATATTTTCCGTAATAAGTGAAACGGATGATTAGTGTTGTGCACAATGTCCAACAGAATGGATTTTTACGTGGACAGCGGCGATGAAGAGCCATTTGAAGACAGCGGAAGCGAATATTTACCAAGTGAAGATGAAGAGTCTGAAGAAGATGATATGTTAATTGATGAATATCAAGATGTAATGTTAGTAGAAAGTGTAAGTGAAGACAGTAATCATGAACTAGAAACCGACCTAGCGACGACAGAAAAAGATTACGCCGACATAAAAATAATTTGGGGAGACAGTGATTTCGTTCCAACAATTTTCGAATTTGATCCTACAAATAGCGGCATCAGGAATGATTCTTTGTCTGAAAAGTCCATAGAATTTGATTATTTTGCAAGCCTATTTACCGAAGATATCGTAGAATATATTGTAACCGAAACTAACCGATATGCTAATCAAAATCAGGCAAAGGATTGGAAAGAACTTTCAACACAAGAATTTTATGTTTTTATCGGTCTAACAATGCTAATGTCTCGAAACAAAAAAACTAATTTAAAAGAATATTAGTCTACAGATTCTTTGCTCGAGTCTCCAATCTTTTCTAGAACCATGCCTAGGGACAAATATATGAGTATTCTTTCAAATCTTCATTTTGTGAATAATGAAAAACAACCTACGACTAAACTATATAAGGTAGAAAAAGTCCTCAAACTCATAAAGGAGAACTTCCAAAAACAGTTCTACCCGTTTGAAAATTTAGTTGTTGATGAAAGCATGGTGTTATTTAAAGGACGTTTAAGCTTTAAACAATACATAAAGACGAAAAGGCATCGCTTTGGAATGAAACTGTACGTTCTTTGTGATTGTGAAACTGGAATGGTTCTTGATTTCGTTGTGTATGTTGGAAATGATACAAAACAATTTGTTGAAGAAATAAAGGGTCTAGGATCTTCAGGATCTGTCGTAGTGTCTCTTATGAAACCATACCTTGACAAGGGACACAAGCTTTTCACAGACAACTACTATTCCAGCCCAATTTTGGCAAATTATCTTTTCGAAAAAAAACGAACACCTGTGGAACTGTGCGTGAAAATAGAAAATATATGCCTACACTGAAAAAAAAACTAAAGAAGGGCGAATTGTCTTCGAAAAGTAGCGATAAAATTCTTGTCATAAAATGGAAAGATCGCCGCGACGTAACTATGATATCTACAATGCACGAGAACAAAATAGTAATAATGGATAAAATTGACAAGCGAACAAATGAGGCTACGAAAAAACCACTGTGTGTAATCAATTACAACGAGAGAATGGGAGCAGTTGATCGCACAGATATGATGTTGAGCAATATAGAATGCATGCGCAAAAGTATGAAGTGGTACAAGAAACTTTCCTTCCACTCATTAGATTTATTAATTCTAAACTCGCACGCAATGATGCAAACAAAAAATGTTAACAAAATTCCTTTTGGTGATTTCCAGCTGAAACTTATTCGGCAAATTTTTGAAAAGTAAGTATCACCCCTGAATTGTAACATTTTTTAACTTCATATTTAACACAGGTTTCCTCTTGACTACTCTACTATAAGAATAGCTCGTGGTGTGCCAGATGTTGGAAGGTTGGTGGAAAAACATTTTCCTCACGTTGTTCCTGCAACACCGACAAATAAGACACCTCAAAGTAGATGTGTAGTATGTTCGCAAACAATTTTAGGACCCAGAAAGAGGAAAGGTTCACGGTACATGTATACCATTTGCAACGTGGGGTTGTGTCTGACGCCTTGCTTCGAAATTTACCACACTAAAAACCAATACTGAAAGAAATAAAAGTTGCTGTTGTTCATATGTACAATAAATAATTTTCTGATTTCCCTTTTTATTATTTCTCCATAGATAAACAATTAAATCGCCTATAAACATAGCAAACATTTGTTGCCGTACATATACGGCGGTCGCCTGTGCGGCAATAACATCGGTGCCGTCTGAGAGGTAAACGAATAAATTTTGGAGCCGTCCTTAAAGGGTTAATCATGTTTTCTTGAAATTCAACACTTCCATTAGTGTTATAAAAACATTTGTACCAATCCCGAACTGCATTAGCAATTGAGTGTTCCGTTGTATCCCGTCTTCTTCTCTGAAGGCCTAAAAGTTCACGCGCACACCGTCTCCATTCACCCTCTGTTAGCTGGCCTCTTGCAGCATCCTCCCAATCCACGCACTTGGAGTAAGGTACGACGGACTTCTTCGGCGTAAAAAATTATGTAAAGCGCAACACGCAAGAACAATAACTTCTGATGTTTCTACGCTAACATTCATTGTTGTCTGAAGAATTCTAAACCTGTTGGCAAGTATGCCAAACGCATTCTCCACCACTCGTCTTCCACGACACATCCGATAATTGAAAATTTTTTCATGGTGGGTAATTCCTTTGTTTGGGTAAGGTTTCATTAAGTTTTCCTTCAGAGGGAATGCTTCATCTCCAAGAAATGTGAACGGCAAGCAGATATCTGTATTATCAGGAAAGTTTGTTGGTGAGTGCAAATTTAATTTTTTATTTTCCAGCAACTCCCCAAAATCTGTTTCCATAAGCACTCCTCCATCGGATACTCTTCCACTGGTGCCACAATTTACATAAATAAATTCATAATTAGCGTTGACCACAGCTAAAAGGACAACACTGTTAAATCCTTTATAATTGAAGAAGTATGAACCACTTCCGGGAGGTTGACGAATATCTATATGTCTCCCATCAATAGCACCGACGCAGTTTTCAACTTGCCAGTAGGTTTTAAAGTCTTCCGCTATGTTCATCCAGTCTGACGCATTGCAAGGAAACTGAAATAAAAAACAATTGTTTTAAGGAGAATTCAAAACAAATCGTTCTTAAAAACCACATCGTTGACTCAATTTTTTGGTTTCAGACACTTGACGATTCTTCAAGAGAGTTTGAAGCTAGTGTACCCACTGTTTCATCCGTCCAATGTGTTACTTTAAGTGATTTGTCTGCACCAAGTACGTCCGCTGCTTGTACCCAAAAAAGGGCAACCAGGAAAAAGAGGAACGTATCAGCGTTGGACAAAAAACAAGAAAATTTTTTAGATGCTGCTACGACTGTGTTGACCAGCCAGAATAAGTTCCGCGCATTTGGAAACAATGTGGCTTTCCAGTTCGAAGACATGGACCGATGTCAACGAGTGATTGCAGAGAAACTAATATCCGACGTTCTGTTCTACGGCAAGTTAGGGAATTTAAAACCCTATTCTACAGTAATGACAGAACAATCAAACCATACCAACTTACAGTCACTTAATTATTCAACTCAAATGCAACCTATCATTCAAAACCAATATAGTAATCAATATCCGCATCATTCATACATCTCCCATACTCCTAACTATTTTACACAACAGCTATGCAGTACACCGCCTTCTCAATATCCACCTACAGATACATCTGTAGTGCCTTCACCTGCAATTGCTAATACCAACTTTCTAAAAGCAGCAAGTGAACCTACCTTATATATATACTCACAACCAAGAGTTTCAAACTAAAGCAGTTACTACCTCTTCTGAAGAAAGAATTAACCGTCAAGATGTTGGGGATGAACTCGGTCAGTTTTTGCATTTAGATAAAGTTCGTAATGATTAGCATTGAATAACCTAACTTTCTACGTTTGTAACATGTTTTATTAACATTGTACACGTAATAAATTTGTTTTGTGATGTAGTTATATTTTTTTGTAGTTAATTAACCTTATACCTGTAATTTGTCTACGAATCTATATTAATCATGGTGTGCTTACCTTTAAGAAGTCGTCTCTGAGAACATCAAAAATAGCTGTGCACGTTTCTGGCACAATTCTGCCAAGCGTTTGTGCCGATATAATAAGGCATTCCTTAACAGAAATGGATTCTCTCATATTCGTATTTTTCTTTTCAAGAAGATTATAAACTCGTTCAAGTAGATCTTCAAAACATTGTTCATTCATGCGTAAATAGTTTCTGTAGTCTTGTGGCTCATTGGTAGCTATTTCAGTCAATAACGACATGTGGCTGAAACTATTTCGCTCTAATAGCCACTTCTTGGCCCACAAACGTGGAGGTTTCCTTTTTTTCTTTCTATTTAAACATATAACACCCGCGCATAGAGCTGTAACCGATTCAAGATCCATCGCACAAATGAGGTCGTCCCAACATGCTCGATGTGAAGTTCGATCGTGGATGGACACACCCAACATGTTGGGTTCGACGTTGGGTTGGAAGTTGGCCAACATGTTCGACCGTCGATGGGGGGCTTAAGAGCGCCTTTTTAGGGTTTGTTCCTGCAAGGGAAAGTTGTTGCCTCATATTTTAATCGGCAGAAATGCCTTTTAAATTTGGAAAAGGCACATCCGTATCGTGTGAAAACTTTAGCTTGCTAGCAAGCTTGGTCGATACACACATTGTCGACAAGAACGGGAAGTTGGTTCCTGTTCTTTCCAGCCTTCCCCGCTGGAGGCGGCGACGAAACCTCCACGCTCGGTAAATTCCGCCTCCCCCATGGAGGTGACAACCGAATCGTCATGCCGCCCGCCTTCCACGTTAAAGGCGGCGACAAAACTGCCACGCCCGGTCAGTTCCGCTTCCCTCGTGGAGGCGGCAGCCAAAAAATCAGGCCGTCTGCCTTCCTCGTTGAAGGCGGCGACCAAAACTTCACGTTCGGTTAGTTCCGCCTCCCCAGTGGAGGTGGCAGCAAAAAAGTCAGGCCGTCTGCCTTCCCCGTTGAAGGCGGCGACTAAAAAAGCCCGCCCGGTAAATTCCGCCTCCCCCGTGGAGACGACAGCCACAACGTCAGGCCGACCGCCTTCCTCATTGAAGGCGGCAACCAAATCGTCAGGCCGTACGGTCTCCCCCATGGAGGCGACGACCAGCGCGGCAGGCCGCAACGCCTACCTCGCGGAGGCGGCGACCACCACCCAACCGAGGTCCTTGGCTGAGGGAATTCCGTCCCAACGGGTGAAATGGACGTCGATGTAGCAGTCGGCCCATCCAAATCCGTAGGAAAAAGGAAGGCGAGCAGCGACTTGGAGGAAGAATCTTCGGAGGCGGTGCGTCCCCGCATGGAACCAGTTTCCAAGCGGATCCCCCCGGTAATCCTTCACGCTAAAGAGAACTGGAATTCGATTTCGGCGGAGATGGCGAGACTTAGGATCGTCTTTTCGAAAGCCAGAGCGGTTCCGCAAGGAATCAAGATAGAATTTTCCCCACCGTGGAAGCCTACCGCGCTCTGATGAAAATGTTGATGGCTAGTAAACACCAGTACCATACATTTGCCCTCCCCGATGATAAGCCGTTAAAGGTTGTCTTTAGAGGCGTCCCTAACAGTATTGGGGAGGACAGCATTGCTGCCGACCTGAGAAAACAGGGATTCTGGCCTGAAACTGTAAAGCGGTTGCGCCAGGGCTCTGAACGGAGGCCAATTCCCCTGGTTCTGTCCGTCTTGAAAAAGACCGCGGACGCTAAGAGGATTTTCGACCTCAAGACGGTAAAGGAATTAACCATTACCGTCGAGAGCGCTAAAAAGAAGACGGAAGTTGGTCAGTGTCATCGCTGTCAGCGTTACGGCCACTCCCAACGAATGTGCAATGGTGCACCTCGTTGCGTTAAGTGCGCCGGTGATCACTCGACGGCTTCCTGTTCCAAAGCAAAGGATGCGCCCGCCAAGTGCGTCCTTTGCGGTGGCCCTCATACCGCCAACTACAAAGAGTGCTCAAAACACCCGAAGGCGGTGGAAACGAGGGCGCCGGCGGCAGCCCCAAAGGTCAAAGCGACCGTTCCTCCAAAAGCGCCTATCCAGGTGCCAAAGGGGGATAAAAAAGCTCCAGTAGCCGCAGCGAAACCCGTGCAGGCGGTTAGTAGTTCGGCGAAAAAGCCAAAAGGCAACGCTAACGTTGCCCCCAAAGCGAACGCTCCAGCTACCAAGGTAGTTCGGAAAGAGGTCGCGGCGCACAAAGCTAAGCTCAACGAGCCGAAGCAAAAGGCGACCGACGACCCTCCGAAGCTGTCGAGGTCGCAGAGGAGGCGTCGCAATAGGAGACTTCGTAAAAGCGGGTCGATCGCGGTGGCTGAAACACTATCATCGGTCAATGTTGCGGAACAGGCGGCGGTTGAACCCCCAACCGACCCCCTCGTCAACATACTGGCGATGATAAGCAAGGTCATCCGTATCGACAAGTCCGATAGGGACGCACGAGTTAAGTTGTGCCTCCAAATCATGTCCGAGATGATGAAACTCTTATGATGACTCATGGAAGACCAAAAGTACCTCATTCGCTTGAGTTGGCTTATTGGAATGCCAACGGCCTTGTCTGTAAACAGAATGAGCTTCGCGAGTTCGCCGAAAGATACGACCTTGACGCGATACTCATTTGCGAAACCCATCTGCGAGCGGGCGATAGGCCGCGGCTGCCCAGTTATCGCTTCTATCGAAACGATAGAGTTGGAGCAAGAGGCGGCGGGACAGCCATCTTCGTAAGGACCAGTTTGGATCATTACGAGGATCTGACTCCCCCTCTTCAACATCTCGAAGCTACTACGATTGTAGTACGAACACTATCGGGGTGCGTTCGCTTAGTCGACGCCTAAAATCGGCGGTTGTTGGAAGACGATCTAACGGGTGTCTTAGATACGGACAAAGGCGTGATTATCGCCGGCGACCTAAACGCCAAGCACCCATCGTGGAACAGTCGGATCGCAAACGCGAACGGTAAAATACTGCGGAGTTTTACCGACGAGACGGGCATTGTCACCGATGCCCCCGCCATCCATACGTATTACCCGTCGAAAGAAAGGCAACGATCTGACGTTTTGAACATAGTTGTAATGAAAGATGTCAAACTAGTTCATAGAGTTACCACGCTCAATGAAGGAATTCGAGGAATTCATTTGGAACAAGGCCAGCACAGAGTTTACGCGGCTCGAAGATTACCCAAATCCCCTCCTAGCGGGATTAACGGATTACGACGTTGAACACCTTCGCCATAAACGGCCAAGGCTGCTTCTCGTCTGACGATCCAGGAACCCGACTGTCCTTTCCAAATCCACTCCCGATATCGCTAATTTAGCGAATCTTTTTTTTTTTGTGTAGCGAAATTTGCAAAATTTTGCACAATACTTAATTTATCAATAATTTCATGGTAACGGAGACAGTTTAAACAAAGGTAGTTGCTGGCATTATTAATTAAATATCTACTAGAGAAGTGGTACATTTAAGGGAAACAGAACGAATTATTATTTTAACAATGGTTGGTTTTGGAGATCGTACGAGGACGTAACATACAAGTACGTGTTTTATTTAAAGAAACATATCCAAATCGACAACCAATTAGTCAATCGGTTATTAGTAAAACTTTAAAACGTTTTAAGGAGACGGGTCATGTAAAGGATATTCCAAAATGCGGCCGGCCGAATGTAGCAACAAATGACGATATGAGGCAAAGTGTGTTAGAAGAAATAACAGATAATCCACATAGCTCGATTCGTCAACTAACTTATCTAGTGTTGCGAGACGATTTATATCCTGTGTACAATTAATTTTTAAATCTTGTAAAGATGTATTTGTGTTAAACAAAGTTTGTCTTCGCCATGAAGATCGCGACCATTTAATTTATATATTCAAACAATTTTACTTCAACAAGAAGAATTCAGGTCACACAATGCCTTTAGCAAAAGAGGTATTTTAAATATTACTAGCGTGTCACAAGTACGGTGTATAAATGTACAAGATGTTGTAGTGAATCTCACATCTATTATTGATGTTTTTTTTTCATTTGCAGAAAGAAAGGATCGCTACACGAATAATTCTTCCCTTCCTATTTTTATGTTTACTTTATGTGTATTGTCTTATTGGTTGAGCCGCGCGCTAGCTAATAACAACATTCCTAGAATTAAGAGCGTCCAGGGGAAAAAGCTATAAATATTGAGAAAGTAACTTCTAACGTAAATTGAGCCAAACCTAGACGCACCTTAGAGAGAAGTTGAAGAAATCGTCCGACCTGCTGCGAGAGCGAAGGAAGGGGAAGGATTCATGTGCTACCTGGTTGACCTCGTCCAAGCGTAATCCGGAGTAGGTAAGTTTCTTCCGAAACTGAAAGCGCCCTTTTTAGGATTTGGTTCCCGCAAGGGAATTTTCGCCTGCATTTTAATCGGCAGAAATGTCGTTTAAAAATGGAAAAGGCTTGTCCGCGTCGTATAGAGATTTTAGCTCGCAAGCTTAATTGACACACATTCCGTCGACGGGAACGGGAAGTTGATTCCCGTTCTTCGAAGCCGTCCGCCTTCCCCGTTGAAGGCAATAGAGTTCATCGTAATACAATGTCAAAATAGTCTAAGTTAAAAGGACAGCTTAGGAATGCAAAAGCTATGTTGAACTGTGTAAGAAAACTATATAACGAGGGCCGATTTGAGTATATCGCAACTACTTTGAGTGCTATGACGAAGGAATGTATTAATTCTCAGTCGTCAAGATGATATTAGTATCCCCCTAAACATTGTCGCTCAGCTGCTTAGGACACAGGAAATGGACGTAAACGTTCTCCGCGAGAATATTATTAGGAATGGGTTAGGTTGCATCTTAGCCCATTCTGTTGGACCAAATGGAAAGAAACTGCAAACAATTGCTTTCTCCGGCATATACTACACAAGATCTCCTCGGCACACTATTTTGCGTGTTGTTCCCGCTCGTACTCTGCTAGCTTGGAACAGGGAATACCTTAAGTGGTTCCACCCTAACCGTCAACGGTATTGGTGGCGCTGCAAAAATTCACATTTTAAACACAGCGAAATTATTTCGAACATTTGAGAAGATGAAACAAGATTTGAATAAATGGAAGTCAAACGGAGGAGTATTAATTATGAGCTACAAAATGTATAGAACTTCAAGGTCTATGGGCCCGTCACTGCTTGGTCAAGGTCCAGGGCCAGACGTTATAATCTGCGACAATGGACACCGAACAGCGCATCGCCAGGAAGCGAATTGTTCTAAGCGACAAACAGCATGAAAGAAATCGGGCAGATTACTGACCTATGATCGAATTTACCAGGCCAGAATATCCACCAGATTTTGTGGAAACAGAATAAAACAATCATTTAAGCGTCATGGTGCAGGAGAAGATAAAAATTCCATGCGATGTAATGTCTTTAGCCTAAAATCGAATATATCAGGCTAGAATTTTTACCCGAGTTTGTGGAAACTGAATGAAAAACGACCATTTAAGCGCCTTTGATGTGAATATAGTAGTATCGGAGACACGTTACATTTTACGACTAAAACTTAACAAAAGTGTAGCGAATATTTTAGTAAAAGATCATTTTAATATTTAAAATGGTGTAACATTTGCAGTATCATCTGTCTTTTAGCTCTCCCACCTCACAGCAGCATCCTTCCACCACGTATGTTTTTGGCTCTATGAGTGATCAAGAGACCAATCCTGTGTCATCTGGACCATCACCTTCCCAAGATGACGTTGCTTTGCTGAGCAATTCTCTTCAAATAATAAGTAAAGGCACTGTAGAAAATCCAGTGCCAAAATCGGTCAGAAAAAAGATAGAATGTAATAAAGAACTGCAAAGAGTTATAAGAAAACTGGTATTCGATTATTACCTTGCGAAGAGATTTCCGACTGCTCTTCCACCGTTTTCTTTGAGAACATTGTATCGTTGGTTAAGAAATCTCCATTTTGTTTATAAAAAATTAAACAATAAAAAAATTTTAATGGAACACCAGAATGTTGCTGTAAATAGGGCAGATTTTTTAAACTCTTTGCTAACTTACCGAAATACCGGATGGAGAATCTATTATATCGTGTTCAAGAGGTTAATGGCTATAGAGGTGGGATAAAAAGACCATCAGGCGCCGGTCAAAGAATCATTATCTTACACATTGGCAGTGAAGATAGATTTCTACCGGGTGCAGAAAAATTCTTTATTGGCGAGACAAAGTAGGCTAAAACTGATAATCACCATGAAACGAATTGACAACATTACGAAGAGTGGTTCAGATATGTATTGCCCATAATACTAGCGAGATCTGTTATCATGATAGACCAAGCCCCATACCATACTATGTTGGATCCTAATTTCAGAAATCCAACTACAGCATGGAAAAAGGGGACATCATCAGGTGGCTTCAGGAAAGGAATGTGTCGGTATCTCAAAGTTATATCACATTTTCATCGATGACCAGAACACAGCTTTTACAACTGTCACATCCTTATCATTATCAGAGACCTTATCTGTTAGATTCTTTGGTACAACAAATTAGGGGCGATGAGGTAAAACTGCTTTGGTTACCAGTTGCATACTGTGAATTTAACGCAATTGAATTAATATGGGCCTATGATAAAAATAAAGTGGCAAGAAACACCTATAAAATTAACGACGTTCTCAATTTTTTGTCGCGATGCAATTGCTTCAGCTACGCCACAAATATGGCAAAATTGCGTCAGACATGTTAAGAAAACTGAAGATAAATACGATGTACGAGGAATACCTTAATATGGATGAAAGCGATGACAGTTTCTCATCAGACGATCTCTCTGAAACGATGTTTGGTGAAAATGAAGTTTAAGAGTACCGACACACACGGCGTTTTTAACCGAAGCGTTTAACGAGTCAATTCCTGAATCAATGTGTCTTGGGTTACATTAAACCTCGTAGGCGCACACGCCGGTTTTAACCGAAGCGTTTAACGAGTCTATTACCGAGTCGATGTGTCATGCAATATATTCGTAATAGTGGGAATCACACACAGCGGTATTGCAATTTCGGTTTAGGTAGCGGTTTTAAAACAACTTCGGTAGGTCGTTGTCGTGACAACTCGAGGCGGTTTAATTTTCGTAGTAATGGCTGTACAAAAATGAGACGTAGAAAAGCTAATCAATGAAATAGAAATTCGACCAGCAGTTTGGGATATGAGGGAAAAGGAGTATAGCGATAGAGTTATGAGAAGAAAGTGTTGGGACGAAATAGTGGATTTGTTTGCTAATGAAAGCAGCACAATTGAAGAAAAGAAGACGTTAGGTATGTATAACTAATAATTTCTTTAAAAATGTATAGTAAAGAAAACGCAAAAAAAAATTTAGTGGTTTCATTCTAAGTTTTTGTCTTCGAAATATTTGGCGTATTTATCTCTAGCAAATAATGCTAATGAATTTCCTCTATGCGCTGTGTCTGGTGCTAGACTGTTAAGATTGGGATCCTCATCAAATATCTGGTCATTCGAGCGAGTGCCATCTCTTGTCCTTATGAAATTATGTAGTACGCAAGCTGCTTTAACAAGATTTACAGTTCCATCAATATCAAGATCAATAGGCCGATGAAATATACGCCATTTATTGGCTAAAATTCCAAAAGAGCACTCAATATATCTTCTTGCTCGAGATAATCTAGCATTAAAAGTTTCTTTAATAGATGTGAGCTGTTTTCCTCCATAAGGCCTAAGCAAATTTTCAGATAAAGGGAATGCCTCATCACCAACTATTACAAAAGGGTATTTTTCATTTGTTTCATCAATACCACATGGTGCAGGCACCCCTAATGTACCATCACATAATTTTTCATAAAGTTTTGAATGTTTAAATATGCCAGCATCACTTGATTTTCCATATGATCCTACATCGATGTATGTGAAGCAATAATTAGCATCGCACATCGCAAATAATACCGTAGAAAAATACTGTTTATAATTATAGTACATAGAGCCACTATTTGGTGGCTGCTTAGTTCGTATATGTTTCCCATCTATTGCTCCTATGCAATTGGGAAACTGTGCAACTTTTTGAAATTCTTTAGCAATTTCGATCCGCTTCTCTGTAGAACATTGAGGTATAACTTTATCTGCTAATTCAATCCATATTGTCTTACAAACGTCTTGGATAATGCTACTAGCACTAGATCTACCAATACGAAAATTATAATGTAATTCGGCCAAAGAGCACCCCGTAGCCAAATACCTAAAAGAAAAAATAAACTTGATAAAAATTATATATTGTTAATTTGCTTTTCTTATAGGTAATGAAATGCATAAAAAGTGGAAAAATATCCGAGATAATTTTTCAAGAAATATCTCCAAGAAAGAAAAGGGAAGTCAGCAGCTGGAGGACATCTGAAAGCCCCTTACCTTTATACGCAAAGGTTATAATTTCTTGTCGACATTATCACACCTAAAAAAACAAGCAATTCTTTGGAGCCTACTGAAAGTATAACTAGTGATGAATCTTCCTTTCAATTTGTCAGTACACCTGGAACATCCACCCCAACTTCCACAAAACAAACTCGTTCTGCTATTGGAAAAAAAAGAATGCGCTCTGTGGAAGATAAAATCTTAAGCTCGCTTGAGAGCTACGAAAAGAGATGCAACAAGCCAGTGATTGAAGATGACAATCACTATTTTGCGCTTTCTTTGGTGCCAATGCTTGCCTCGCTGCCAAGACATTTCAACACCAATTGCAGGCTTGAAATAATGCAGGTTATTTCAAAATATGTTACGAAAGCCGAAGAACAACAAATTGCACCAACCCAACTTATTCCGCCATACATTATCCCATTCAGGCACCAGATTCACAACAACAGTGTTCCATACCACCTCAAAATATGACCAGCCAACAGCCGATCTCGATACAACATCAAGCACCTTCGCCAGCCGCATCGTACCTCTCAAGTTTTTCCGAAGACGATTCCCACTTCACTATTTTTTAATATAAATTAAGTAATAGTAGTACATAGTTGTTAAAATAAAGAATATACAGGTGTAACTTAAGTGATGACTTTAATTTCAATGGGTGATTCCTTGTTATATTTTAAGCACAAAAGTTCATATGAACATGGGTCCGCAAATGCGTCGTTTCCAAGATATAGGGTGTCAAAGTTGAGAAAATAAATCGTATTTTCGAAATAAGTTCATGAAATTTCATACACAGGGACTTTTTGGGATGACAAATTAAAATTTGTCATCAAAAAAAAGGTATACCTAATTGAAGTCGATAGGAGCAACCGTTTTAGGACATGTAAGACATTCTTATTGATGTTAAGATTTAAAATAAAAACACATTGTTTTTGTTGACATTGTTGATTTTGAACATTAAAAGTGTCAAGATTACTGTCAGTTAAATATCTGTTCTTTTGCAGTTAACTATGAATAACGTTGAATTAGCTGAAATGCATTTGATTTATGGACTAGCAGATGGAAATGCTACACAAGCCCGTCGACTTTACCAGGAACGATATCCCAATAGACCACTTCCAACAGCAAGAACTTTCATAAGGCTACATGCTAGAGTGTGCGAATCTGGATCTGTAAATGCTCACGCTGAACGTATTGGTAGACCGAGAACAATAATGACACCACAACTAGAAGAAGCAATCTTACAAGAAGTGGAAGCTAATCCGTCAAGTAGTACGCGAAAATTATTTGCACAGTTTAACATCAGTCATCAAAGTGTTTGGAGGGTTTTGCACAGAAATTTACTTTATCCATACCACATTCAACGCGTGCAACCACTGTTGCCAAGAGATTTTCCTGCACGGTTAGATTATTGTCGATGGTTTCTCGAAAAACTACGCAGAATCCCAACTTTACGTCTAAAATTCTATTCACAGATGAGGCAAGTTTTTCACGTGATGCCATCAGAAACTTCCACAATAATCATTTTTGGGACTATGAAAATCCCCATGCCATTGAAGAACGTGGATTTCAGCAGCAATTTTCGGTCAATGTGTGGGCCGGAGTTTTTGGTGATCATGTCATCGGACCGCATTTTCTTCCTCCTCGACTGAATGGTGAGACTTACAGACAATTTCTAGATGACACATTGCCTGGTCTGTTAGAATATGTACTACTAGCAACCAGAAATGGCATGTGGTTTATGCACGAAGGGGCACCTGCTCATTTTAGTCTTGCTGTTCGCCAACATCTTAATTACACTTTTGCTCAGCGATGGATAGGTCGGGGACGACCTCAGCCGTGGCCACCACGATCTCCAGACCTTAATCCGCTGGACTATTTCTTTTGGGGACATCTGAAATCGCTTGTTTATGCAACGCCAGTTGAAGATGTACATGATTTAAGAAACAGAATTGTAAATTCTTCTAATGTCATACGCAACACTCCAGGAATTTTTGAACGTATGCGACAGTCGATGAGCAGAAGATTACATGCTTGTATTGAAAATCGCGGCTCTCATTTTGAGCATTTGATTTAATTAAAGTTTGATAAATAAAATATTATTATAATTGTACATTCAAATAAAAATGCACAAATAAATGTTTTTTTGAAGGTTATATTATTATTTATTTTCTCAACTTTAACACCCTATATCTTGGAAACGAAGCATTTGCGGACCCATGTTTGTATGAACTTTTGTGCTTAAAATATAACAAGGAATCACCCCTTGAAATTAAAGTCATCACTTAAGTTACACCCTGTATATTTTATTTGCTTACCGGAGAGTTATTAATAATTTTTCCGTTGGTGTTATTGAACTTCTCATACGTGTATCTTTCTTTGTTAGCTTCTGTTCTAAAATGGCGAGTAACTCGTCAAAAGTACTACGTGACATCCTAGTGTAATTAAAAATTTTTTCTTCGTCTCTTTGTACTTCAGCAAACAATGTATGATAATGTCCTGTCTGTTGCCTTTCTTTGATGATTGGATGTATCCACATTCTTCGTTTTCTAACTTTTTTCTTATTAATTTTCCAATATAAATACAATAGCGACAAGTATATAATGTCGTCCATACTGCAAACCGCACCAACAGCTTAATGTTTTTATTATAAATTGATCGACGAGTTAAACGCGGCGTTAAAACGGCCGTGTATGTCTTTACCCTAAAAGGGCCCATACACCTGCGAACAAATTGCACAACAGAGGCTGTTGTGCAATTTAGAAGCAGTTGTAGAAATTCAAAATTGTTTGAATTTAATTGCGCAACGGATGACGTTGTGCTACTATTGCATTATATATGGGTCCTGGCTCGAGAGCCAGACACTAGTAGTACTGATAATTTTAAAATGGCGAACTTTATAAACAACAAAGACTTTTGGAGCGAATTTATTAATCTATATCGCCAGTTGCCAGAAGTGTGGAAAGTGAAGAGTGATGTGTACAGAAATAGAAACAAGAAGAACGTCGCGTATGAAAAACTAACCGAAAAATTAAAGGAAATAGAACCTAGCGCCGATAGAGAGATGGTGCGAAAGAAAATAAATGTTTTGCGTACTGCGTATCTGAGGGAATTGAAAAAAGTAGTGGCGAGCTATAGATCTGGCACAGGCACCGAAAATCTTTATGAACCAAGTTTATGGTATTTTAAAGAATTAGATTTCCTCAGAGACCAAGAAAGTCAATTACCAGGGACTTCTACCATGGACGAGCCCCAAGAGACTGAAAATGAAGGCAGGGTAAGTAATCAAATCAGTTATTATTTAAATGCTGTTATTATTTTGAAATAATTTATTTAAAAAGTAATATATTTTTAAGCACAACTGTGAAAAACAGATAATTTATAGTTAAGATATAATGTTGTCCTGCCACGGAACAGCTCCAACAGTATTAAAGTAATTACAAAACTGTGCTCTTACTTCTTTTGCTGTTGTTGTACTGTTTCTCCCTTGAAGTGGTTGTAGTGTTTGTAACGTAGGATCTGCTCTCCAATCAGCATTTGTAAACTCTCCGGTATTTATATTTTCAACATCTATGCCGCCTTGGAAGTAACACTCTACATTTTTATGTCGTAAAAAGTTGTGCAAATAGCAACATGCTAATGTTATAGTAACAGCTTTTTCTGGACATAGATTAATTTGACTTAACAGAATTCTAAATCGAGAAGCTAGTATCCCAAATGCATTTTCAATAATCCGACGGCTGCGTGACACCCTGTAGTTATAAATTTTTTCTTCCTTGGTGAGGTTTCTCTTGCTGAATGGTTTCATTAAATTCTCCAGAAGTGGGAAAGCGTCATCCCCTACGAAAACATAAGGCACTTTGGTATTAGTTAAAGGCAAATTTTCCGGTTCAGGAAGGCCCAAGTTCTTTTCTACAAGTTTTTTATAGAAGAAGGTATTTGAAAACACCCCTGCATCAGAAACACGTCCATTAGCGCCCACATCAACCATCAAGAATTCATAGTTTGCATTTACAATTCCCATTAAAACAATACTAAATGAATGCTTATAGTTGAAGTAATAGGAGCCTGTTCCGGGGGGTTTAAATATGTGTATATGTTTACCGTCTATTGCCCCTAAGCAAAGAGGAAAATTCCACTTCGTTTCAAAATCTTTACTTACAGCTCTCCACTCATTTTCACTTTGTGGTAGCTGAAAGAAACATATCGTTAGTGTCATTTATAGAATTGCATCTTGAATCATGCACAATTGAAGAGCCCACTGCAAAAAAGACGAAAGATTTCTTGAAATTCCGCCTTTTTGCAGTGGACTCTTCAATTATTATTTATAGAATTGTTTAATAAAGAAAAGTAGGAATATTATAAACCCATTTTGGCCTTTTATAGGATTCTTCTCGGGACGATGGTAACCCAGAAGCAAATGCAGCAGAAGAGGAAAATCCAGATACTTCTCAAGAAATAGAAATGCCGGAAGCTGCCACAGGACGTAGAGCTCCAAAACGAAAAGGGACAACCGAGGAATCTCAGACCCGAAATGAATTATTAAGAATGGCTTGCCAACATCTGCGTGCTTCCAACAATGAGGTAGACATTCTAGCGAAAAGTTGGGCACTGGAGCTAGTGAAAATGTCGCCCGAGCAGCAAATTCACGCGAAAAAGGCCATTAGCGACATCTTATATGAAGGGCGTTTAGGAACCCTTCACAGAAATTCTGTAACAATAAATGGGCCAAACTCACGTCTACTTTCATACGGATATTCACCTCATACAAGTAATAGTAGTCTATCTCAATCATACCCTCCATCTCCAGTACAAATCACCACTCTAGAGAACAGACCACAACATTCATCCCAATACGTGTACCCATCACATTCAAATAATACAAAAACTCATTACTCCCCAGCTCCGGTACAGATAGGCAGACCAGAAGACCCATATCCAGACCCAGATTTTATTTAAATATATTGTAGTAGGAGAAAGTTGCCCAACAGTCAAATAACTTCAGTTTTTCAGGTTTTATATTACTTTGTTTATTTTTAGTTCATATTATTTGTATTGTTATTTTAATGAACGTTAATAAAGTAATAATTACTTACCTTTATATATTTCTTCAAAACCTTTATGATTGCGTCACAGGTCTCTATAATAATCTTTCCAAGTGTTTGAGCAGCTATTGCTGTTTCGAACTTTAAACCCTCGTAAGTAAGCCCAGAAGTAAGGTATCGTAAAGTTGCAAATAACCTTTGCTTGGGTGATATTGCTTCTCTCATTATAGTATGTTGTTTTTCTATAAGTGGTGTTATCATTACCAATAATTCGCCAAAAGTAGTGGGGTCCATTCGTAAATAATTTTTGTAATCTAGTGGTGAACTCAATTGAAGTTCCTTGAGGAGATTTGCGTGGCTAAAAAGGGATCTTTTCTTCAACCACTCTTTCATCCATACTCTCCTCTTCCTCCTTCTTTTTTTAATACCAACATCCTCGGAGGTTATAGCAATTATTATAGCTAAACAGGCCGCTTCGTCAGATGGCATGTTTCCGTATGAACGCAACACATACAACTGAGGTTTGTATAAAATAGCGCACAGTGTATGGCTAACCATGTTTGTACAACACTTTGTTGCGCAACATCAGGTTGCCCAATATGTATGCAGGTGTATGGGGCCTATAACGCTTCAAGTAAATTAAACCGACGAATCGAGTCACACCGACGACCTACCGAAGCTGTTTTTAAAACCGCCGGCAGAAACGAAACGCGCGCTACCGCTGTGTGTGTTTTCCACTATTACGTATATATTACATGACACATCGACTCGGGAATTGACTCGTTAAACGCTTCGGTTAAAAACGCCGTGTGTGTCGGTACCCTAAGAGAGAGATGTTTAACAAACAATGAGAGAATAGAAGAAAGAACAGAAAACACTAATATAAACGATACCGATGTTCCTGGCACTTATCGGATTAGTGATTGTAGCAGGGGCAAAGACAATACAAGAAAGATTATGTAAAAGGGACTGAGTTGAATTTTATCAAGTATGTAATTATTATTACCCTATTAGACGGAAATATGCGATCGATAATCGTATACGCTACTCATCGTTTACTTAAATAGTTATCTACTACATGTTACTTGATTGATGTACAAATTGATGTACATCTATTAGTAATGCGTACGCATCGAAGAGGGCACTACGGCTTCATTTATGTTAAGTAAGGTGCGCCAATATATCGACTCATTTTCTGTATAGTGATGGTACAGTAATATTATTGGTATGTCAGATCATCAATATTACCATCGCATCTATCACCGCAAGAAATTACTAGCACTTCGTCAACACAAGCAAGCAAATACATCAATGCTTACAAATTTCAGCAAGAATTTCGTTCTTGTCAAATGTCAGCAGAAGATGCCCTACTGGTTGAAGCTAAATTAACTAGAAGTCAATACAAGATTATTAGAATGCAAAATCCTGGCATATACCCATCCTACAAAGTTGTACAGGAAGAGAAAAAGAAATGCTATCCAAATAAGGAAAGTGTAAATATCACAACGACTTTAGCAGAAGTTGAATTACAAGTTTTGCTAAATTATACCGTAGAATGTTTGATTACTGTAAAAAAGCATGTCATAAATTCACTAGATGAGAAGGATTTGAGTAATCTTTGTTTAATAACCAAGTGGGGGTTTGATGGTAGCTCCGGCCACAGTTTCTATAAACAAGCGTTTCATGATTCTGCAGACCTTTAAAAATCAACTTTATTAAAGAATCTTTAAAAGTTTCCATGCTAGAAAAAAATAGAGTTGATAAAGAAATCAGAAATTTACAGAACAGTGATTTAACTTATAATGGAAAATTAATTTCAGTTAATCATAAGTTAATTTTTTCTATGATTGATGGCAAAGTATGCAATTCACTAACTGAAACTTCTTCTACACATAAATGCTATATTTGTGGCGCAACATCGAAAAGCTTTAATTCTATTGATCAAATGATAAATAGAGAAATAAAATCTGATTATTTACAATTCGGGATGTCAGTAGTACATGGTTGGATTCGATTTTTTGAATGCGTTTTGCATTTATCTTATAAAATCCCCATAAAAAGTAGCAAGCTCGAGGTAATGACGTTTTAAATTGAGGTTATAATAGAAATGAAAATGGAAGAAAAACTAATAGAAAAAGTAAGACAACATGACGTGTTGTACAATATTCGGTCCCATGACTACAGAAACCAAAATATGCGTCAAGAGGCTTGGGAGGAAATAGGGGGAGATTTGAAAATCAAACGTAAGTGTACATTATTTATATATTATTTTTTATTATTTTTTTTAGTTTTTGTTTTGTTTTTTTCTGTTTCTTTCTCAATTGTTTTCATTTACAATTCTTCCTCTGCGAACTAAATCTGTTTGCCAGGAGACACTTCCTGTTCGAGAATTGAAATATTCCTTAAAATTCTCTCGTACTTGGAATGCAGTTTGGGTACAGTTTCGTTTTAAATTATCTACATTTTGTAATGCGGTTAGATGTGGCTCTGGCTGTGATTCCAATAGTGTGTTGTTTGGATCACATTTAGCATCTGAGCATAGCATATTATGCAGTGAACAAGATGCTAGCACAATTTTGTCTACCATTGTTGGTTGTACTTCTAAAGGTTTTTGAAATACTCTCCAACGAGCAGCTAATATTCCAAACGCATTTTCTACCACTCTGCGTGCTCGGGACAATCTATAGTTAAATATTTTATTGGGCTCATTATTTGTAAGGTACTGCTTGCTATATGGCCGAAGAAGATAAGATTTTAAAGGAAAAGCCTCATCCCCAACGATAACGTATGGCTGTGCTTCCCCATTTTCTAAAAGAGGAGCATTTTGCGGTACATGTAAACTGTTATCTTCTAACTTTTTTCCTATCATCGAACGAGAGAATATATTACCATCGCTATTTCGACCGTAAAATCCTACATCAATTGATATAAACTTGTATTCAGCATCAACAAGGGCTAATAGCACAATAGAATGATTTCCTTTGTAATTGTAAAATGAAGAACCTCCATTTATTGGACATCTAATATTTATATGTTTTCCGTCTATTGCCCCTATGCAATTTGGAAAATTCCACAACAAGTTAAATCGTTCTGCAACTTTTTTCCAATTTTCTTCTGTTGGTGTGGGAAATACAGTCGATCCTAATGTCTCCCATATAGCATCGCAAACTTCTGCTACAATTTTTCGAACTGTGCTAAATCCTAACCTGTAGTTAAAAGCGATGGAGCGAAATGAATTTCCGGTTGCCAAAAATCTGCAAATATAATTTCGTAAATATTTTATTTTATAGCAGAAGAAGCGAAGGTGTTATGGGATAAACTGCGGAGGTGCTTTATGAATGCGAGAAGTAGACGAGTTAAAAAAAGCGGTCAATCTGCTAAAAATATAATTCCATGGAAATATGAAAACCAAATGAGTTTTATTCAACCATTTTTGGAAAATCGAAGGTATGTAATCGCAAGCAGAATACGGGCTTGCAATAAAATCGCTTTAATAAAATCGCTTAAATAAAGTTCTACATTCATATTCGTTTTACTTCGTCACTCTCAAAGTAACAAGTAAAACCTTTCGCAAGTTTGTTACAAATTTATTTAAACTGTGCGATTTAATTGCAAGCGATTGTAGTATAAATGCTCTTGTTACAATTTGCGTATTGCTACAGAGTACAAGCAAGTTTAGTTGATGATCAATATAACAATACAACAACTGAAAATGATGAGAGCGAAGCAGTGGATCCCGAAGTTGATAATGCACCAGAAAATCCGCCTGAAGATACGGAGAAAGATAAGCAACCCGACGTGGAAAATGAAATAATTCAACGTAGGGAAATTATAAAAAAACGAAAAAGGGATGCAGAAGGAAATCCGGCATATGAAATGATAAAAATTTTAAAAGACAATGCCGAGTTTCGTAAACAAAAATACGAAAAAAAAACTGCATCGTCTGGTTTGGAGCAATTAGATGAGACGGATATGTTCTTTTTGAGTATGGCAAAGATGACTAAACAGTTGCCCAACATCGAACAAGCCAAAATAAAATTAAATCTTAGCAATGCTGTTCTCCAGGCGTAGATTCACCAACACGAACAACACAGGCATATTACTACAGGAGAGCAATGTTCGAGTCACTCTTCAGTGGCATCTACTCATCAAACTTCCTACACACCTATGTTGTCACCAAACGAAGCAACAAACTCTGATAACATATACTATCAAAATTGTTAAATATATTCTTTAATAAAATGTTAGTGTAGATTTATCAGTACTTACCTTAAACAAACTGCCAGTCTTTCCTGTGTACTAATTGGATCTCTAAACTGTGTACTTTTCTTTTGTATTTTATTTTTAATAATGTCATGTACAAATTCAAACTGTTCTTTAGACATTCTAAAGTACATGTGAAACTTTTTCGGATATTCTTCCAATTCTTTTACTAATCGATGATATTCACCGAAATTATTTCGTTTTTTATTAATTTCATGTACCCAGTATGACTTTTTCTTTTTACTTTCACTAATAGCTAAACATGTAGCCACATTTTCTAAATCTTCTTCCCATTCTGAGGAACTACAAGAATTGCTACTGTACTCCATCGTATACATAGCAAATCGTTTCACAACAATCTGATATTAAACAGTGCGAATGAAATGAGCGCGAAATTATACGAAATGTGCGTAAAATGTGTCTCCTGCGCTTCATATCACGTGATATCATACTTACATGATAGCACGAAAGCTCACGTGACGTGAGCATAGTGTGTTCCTACCTTAAGACTCATAAAAGTATTGTAGATGCCAAACCATACGATGATTTTACTGTCACCAAAAAAGAATGCATCGGGCATGTACAAAAAAGACTTGGAACGCGACTGAGAAACCTGAAAAAAAGGGCTAAAAGTCTGGGCGGTAGAAGTATGTTGACCGATTTATTACGGTTTGGCCATTCGCCGAAACACGGATTCCGTTGAGAAGATGCGGAATAAAATTTGGGCTACTTTATATCATAAAATTTCGACGGACGAGAAGCCGCAGCACGACCAATGTCCTGTAGGCAAAGATTCTTGGTGCTCATGGCAGAGAGCTGCAGCTTTTCAGACTGTTGAAATTTATTCTCACAAGCCGGCGATGCCAATGAAAGTTTTTAACGCCATTACGAAAATCTACGAAGATCTCACAAGGGATGATCTTCTTTCTCATTGCCTAGGAAGATATACACAAAATGCAAATGAGAGCTTAAACGCAATGGTTTGGTCGATAACTACGAAAACGATATCGAGCGGCAAAGATATTGTTGATATAGATGATGGTTTTCAAGGTTTATTAGAGATAATGAACGAATTATAATTAAAAATCGGTTATGAATGTTACAATTGTTGCCTGGAAATAGATGAACGCCGAGTCAAAGCCGCTAACTACACATCATCTAAAACGAGAAAGGACGCCAGGAAAGAACAAACATTACTCAGAAAGGAGGAAGGGGAGCATCTTTTGGATCAAGAAGGCATGCTTTACGGTGCAGGGATAGCAGAGTGAATGTAAAAGGTGTATTTTTTAAGATTTCTTATAGTGAAGTCGTATTGAAACTTTAAACGCATTTTTCTAGAAAGTATGTTTTTCAAATTGGCAAGCACTAGAATTTAAACAATTTTCATCAGATTGATCTGAAATTTTAACTGTGGCTTCTCAGATAGATTCTCTAGAGAAGTACACACGATTATTCCAGTTAACTAACAATTCTTTCTTACAAAAAAAAATAAAGTCGCTTTTGTTGCCATTTTGTGAAAAATTCATAAATTTCAATAATCATGTGTACTTCTCTCGCAAAACTTTTAAATTTAAATTTTGACTACTTTTTTTAATTTGTTGTTTTTTTAGGAATTTTTTTTTGTTACTTTTCAAATTCAAAATTTGGCGGTTTTTTGTTTTATTTTTGTTCTTGCTTGTTGAACGCTAGGATTAGTGGATTAGTGTTTTCTATGAAAATTTTTATTGTTTTATGATTATAAATGATAAGCAGTCTGGTCAACCTCTGGACAAGTGGCTAGAAAGGCTACTTGAAACTTAAAACCGTCCAAAATAGATACAGAGAAGTAACGTCAAAGAAACAGTTGCACAGACTGGTAAAATGTAGTAAATTGAAGAAAAAATCTCCGTGTCTACATATAAACTGACTTTATATGTAGACACAGAACGTTCAACGTCTTTTAACTTGCAAACTTCATTTTATTTTATTTAAGTTCTTTAAATAACAACTGGTATAATGGACTTTGATTATAGTTCAAAATATATTGAAGAGAAAAGGACGTACAGAGACAAATTATCAGAAATTAACGAATTTGTTATTACCAAGCCAGAACTACAATAGATAATAATGCGCCTTTACATGACGTCGACAGTCGCAGATGGGCCTTATAGAGGGTGTTTTTTTAAGCTAGATAGAACTTACAAAAATGTTAACTGTCAAACGAACTGTGATACTGCGCTCACTTTTTGATATTTCTGATCAGTATACTCTGGCAAATCATCATGAAGAGATTGACGCTTGAACAACGCTACCAAATTATCCAGATTTACTTTGAAAATCAGTCATCAATTCGCATAACTTATAGACGACTTCGTGATTTGTATGGCGCACATAATCGTCCATCTGAGCAAGCCATCCGTCGAACTGTGGATAGATTTCATACCACATACTCTCTAAATGATGCAATAAAATCAACACGTCGAAGAACTGTACGTGCTGAGGAGAATATCGCCGCTGTAAACGAATGCGTGGAAGAAGATTCAAATTTATCGATTCGTCGTCGGTCGCAGGAATTAGGGCTTTCTCCGTCCACTACGTGGAAAATTTTGCCCAAAGATCTTGACCTACACCCGTTTAAGATCCAGCTGGTGCAGAAATTAAAACCACGAGACCATCATATGCGTCGTTCTTTCGCTGATTGGACTCTAGAGCAGTTTGAAACTGATCCGATATTTTATCGCAAAATTGTGTTCAGCGATGAGGTTCTTTTTTGGCTTGACGGGCCGCATATGGAGTGAAACCAATCCACTACAGACTCCATTACATCCAGAAAAATGCACCGTTTGGTGTGGTTTGCACGTTGGTGGCATCATTGGACCTTATTTCTTCAAAAATAGAGTCGGAGCTCGCGTTACGGTCAATAGAGATCGTTACCTCACCATGATCAATGATTTTTTGTTTGAAAATATGGATGATATTGATCCCGGCGAAATGTGGTTTCAACAGGACGGCGCTACGTGCCATACAGCGACCGCAACCATCGACTTATTGAAATCAAAATTTGGCGATAAGTTGATTTCGAGAAATGGACATGCCAATTGGCCTGCAAGGTGGTGCGATTTGACACCTCTCGATTATTTCCTTGGTTTATGCTGATAAGCCAGCAACAATTGACAACTTGGAGGCCAACATTGTTCGTGTTATTCGTAACATACGGCCAGCAATGCTCGAAAAAGTGGCCCAAAATTGGACTTCCAGAATGCGCTTCGTCAAGAACAGCCGCGGTGCCCATATGCCCAAAATCATTTTTAAATGTTAAATGCCATGAATTGATCTTTCGATCAAAAAAATTTTTTGGTTTAAAATTTAATTTTTTGTGTTACTTTTTTCAATTTAAAGTTCTATCGGGCTTAAAAAAACACCCGTTACATCCCAAGAAACGACAATAATTGCTATATAATCTGCTACTGTTGAAAACATCTCACACTTGGGTGACTTGGGTGCACCACTTAATTATAAAGCAAACAGGTTGGTGAACAAAAAAACAACAAAATGAGAGAAATAACAAAGAGCTGTTTTAATTTGAACATTTTTAGTAAGAAATAAGAAAGTAATCTTAATTTTCGACAAAGAATCTGAATCCAATATTATCGCATTTGTAGAAAACCAACCTATATATTTTATAAGCCGATCTTGGCTCATATCTTGTAATCATAATGGTGAAATACGTCATATTTTGAAATATATCTTGAAAATATCTCATCTCAACCTCTTTAGCCAAGATGAGTCCTTTTCAAAACAATTATTATGGACATTGAGTATCATGACTTAAGCATGATAGCATCATGATATTCTTGAAAATTCAAAACATTGCGTGAAAATTAGATTATTAATATTTGGGTTCTTGGTTATAACTTAAAAAATGATGCTTATACAGAAGTTTGAACGACTCATAATAATTGTGCAGAGAGTTCCATGATATCCAGTACACAGAAAAATAAGCAGAGTTATAAGGAAGAGTTACATTTTGGGAGTTTTAATAAAACAAATGATCAAAAAAGCAGATCCCAAAATGTACAAGTTGCACGTACACATGCGTTCCACAAAGAATTATTCAAACACTCTGTCAATTATTGTTGGTAGAACGCTTGTGTACCTATCCATAGCACAGCCATAAAAGACTGGTTCCTAACTACACATCACAAATATGAAATCATCGAGATATATTAACAGCATATTGGGGAAATAATACACAAATTTATGTTGGTCTGATAATAACCCACATGTGACAAATATTTACTATTAACATAATGACTCCATTTTAGTTGCACAATGATTGACCATCTGAAATCCATGCAATTCACACACAAGCTGAAACAAAAAGAAAAATATTAATTAATTAATTATTAATAAAGTATTGTAATTCATTAATTTACATCCTCTATCGTTGTAGTAATGCAAGATTAAAAGTAGTGATTGAAAAAATCAAACCAAAAGATTAATATGTTGACATTGAAATTTTTCTTGTATTCCCAACATCTTTATTATAGAAATCAAACTTAATTCCCATGAACAACACTTAAAAAAAATATCATATTTAAAATCCTTGCAAGGAAAAAAGAAGACATCTCAAAATTCATCTCTACTAAAAATAATAATAATAATCTCTTTATTGGTTTTATGATTTATACAATTTACTATAATATATATATTGCTAAGCTTAATTAATCCTTGACCAATTGGAACCGCCATCAGGTTACAATTATATGCTCCCTGTTCTTCCTGGCGGTCCCGTAAAAATTATGAGCTAATTAAGCAAAAAGCTGTACTTATTAAGAGATAAGCTCTAATATCTCATTAATGTCATAATATCTCATATCTCACAAATTTGTAACACACACAGTTTAATTGAATAAGTAACACTTTGTAATATACTAATGTTATAAAAAAAACTACATTACTGTTGAATCTCATTTTTAATATGAAAAAGTCGCTAATAAATTCCAATTAATAATCATTTACTTAAACCAATTGCATAAGAAAAACATAAGAAGACAGAAAGATTCAACTTTACAATTACCTAGTAGTGCTCTAATTAACCCATTTGCCTCATACAGAAGAAATAACTAGTTGAGAAGAAAATGAAATGTTGTAGTAAAACCAATGATAATAAATGGTACCTTGAATCTGAGAGCAATAAAAAACCTAGATAAGTCTTCTGGAGAGCAAATAAAAATGACTGGATGTCGCAAAATTTGATAATGCAGGTAGCCACAATAGAGACTTTAATCATCCTCACTTAAAAATTGTGTTTTTTTCTCCAAATTAGACATCATTGATTTAACCACTAGATCAAGGAATCATTCCAACACTTAAGGCATCCTACATATGACTAACATTCAAAAAATTTTGAAAGCCTGGAAAATGATAAAAATGTAAAGCTTACTTAAGCTTTTTAGGTTGTATTGCAATTATAGATTTGGCTTGCAGGGAATTAAACACTTCATGAGTGTTGGAAACTGTTCTTACCACAAATGGTTCTGAGAAGAAACTTTATTCCATTTGACGAAACATGGATGTTTGGGAACTACTTGAAGAAAAATTTGTAATAGAACTACTAAATATCTTCACTTCCAATATAATTAATGATTCCAAAAATATTTATAATATTGCATCGGTTGCTTACTTAAATTTAATTGATGTGCAAGAAGGAATAGCTTGAAAATTGAAACAGACAGGTAATTGCAACTACGTCAAATATAATACTTTTGTAATGGTGGAGAAATAACTAGAGAAGAGGAGTTTCAAGCAACTTTGAAAAAAAACAATAGATGAACTTTGAAACCAAATTTCAGCTATCATAAAATTTTACACCTTAAGACTTGATTTCAATATAACAATTGTAATATGATTAAGCACGTGACTATTAGGTGTCGCTAGTGGTCGTAAAAAGAGGATAGGTTTTAGAGAAGTAAGAGAGAAGAGGACGGTTGTAACTTGTAACGAAGTTAATAAAGATTAAATTAAAAAAAAAAGAATCTACGTGTTATTTAATAAAATACATATCGTGGTGATAAAACAACAATAGCACACATTGCCTTGATTTTTGCTAAATACTCAAAACGGGATTTAATTATGGTTACAACCTAAAAGACATGCAGAATATATACAATAATATAAATTACTCTACCCCCAACTCCAGCATACCGAAAATCCACATCGCCGCCTGACTAACATAAACTCATAAAAGATTATTACTTTATCTTGTTAAAATTAAACTATTACCTGTTAAACTGAGGAATTGTCTTCAAAAGTTAGACTACAGCAAAACCATAGTTGGTGTCATTATAGTGTTAATTAAAACATCTTTCTTGAAGGTGGTTTATTATTTCAATGCATGGTTAACTTGTGCACAACTGAGACAAATCGATACTATCTGTACTTTTAGAGGGTTGGCATCACCTAAAATGTGCAAAAAAATATTAGATAAACAAAAACCTGTCGTACATATAAATGTTGTACAAGATGTTGTACAAGAATTGTAATTAGAAGTAAATGTCGTCAATGTTCCTATTTTTTATCCATCAGAATGATAATTTTAAAAGGGCACACAATTTATGAATACATTGCAATATATTATTATTGTTTATAAACTATACAACGTGACGTAGCTTTGATATCATGGGAACTGATAAATAAAGTAGTACTACAGATCATGCAATTTCATTAAAATTTTATCTCTGAATGTTTGTCTGTGATTATGATGCCAAGCAATTGTTATGAATTGTAAAGAAGTCGCATAGTTTAATGCTGAAAATCAAAAAGTTTCAAAAATATTATAGTCTGTAATGTAGAGCATATAGTAGGGGTCTCAGTTTTGTAAAAATTTACTAGTTAATTTATTTTTTATGTCAATTTAAATTTATTTGTTGTGTTACATTTAATATGGGATTAGATTGAGCAGCTACTGATAGCTGGATCTCGCCCCACTGAAAAATAATCATTTTGCTTCATTTTTGTATTATGACAGTGTTTAATAAAGGCGTTTATTATTATTATTATAAACGGTTTATCAAACAATTCCTAAAATATGTGTAAAGATTCAAATTTTGATAAATAAAAAATTAAGTTTACCTTGGGCAGCTCCTAAACGATTGATGAAGATATCAAAAATTATTTGCTGAACTTCTGGTATTCTGATTTGTTGTTCATCCAAATTAGGTCCAATGATGAAAGTTTACTCTTCAGATATCCCTAAAGGAAGAAGTCTGGCGAAAATCTGGTGATATTATAGGCACCTCAATTGGCCCTCTTCTCCCACAATCCATCGATTGAGAAATAATTGATTGAAACAAGCTCGAACAGGAACGACATAGTGTGGTGGTGCGCCATCTTGTTGGAGAAATCACTGCCGCTGGAATTGAATTTATTTATTTAGATGGGATGCAAACAGAATTAATCCCAAAGTAGCATACACGAAAAATAACAAAAATAAACTTTAAAAAGAAGGCTTATATAAACTATAAACGTATAAGAAGATGTAATAAAACATATACCGATTTATTAAGATCTGTCTGAAAACAACTTACTTGGAAACATTATTAAGGAGGCAGTGTATAATAATTTGCGAGTTCTAGGATGAAGTATCAAAAATAATGTAACAAAAGTCGCAAATAATTGTCAGACATAAATAATTTATAACGATTTTCGCCGGTTGTAGCCGAACACACACATCCGATAAATAAATGTTTGAGTTTTGATAAGAAATGTGAAACACAAATATGAAACAGAACAAAAAAAAATGAACTAAAAATAATATAATGTTGGATTTAGAAATTTATTATATAGAAATTTATATTAACAACAATTTTATTAGGTCTATTTGTAACATTGTAAAGTTAATTGTTTTTGAGATTTTTGTTCCCGTTATTTTAGTCGAATTTGCGTGATTTACCTATTACTAAAAGTATAAGCCATTGACATTACCTTTTTTTATTGTGCATTATGGATACTAGGAACCTTTATGAGTATGATTTTTATTGTTCTCTGAATTTGTGATAATGATCTTACCCACGTTTATGTAAAAGTGTTTTACACCGTTTCGATTTTTGAATTACGCTTTGAATATAGTGGAAGCGTCTAAATCAAAGAATTTGCGGGATGTTGTGCTATTTCCACCAGATTCAGGTGATCAAGGAATTCAAAGCGACGAGAAAAAAATTGACGATGAAAATTTCAAGATGCTAATGAAGTAGAATTACATGAAAGTGATATCAGTGAGGAAGAATCCGCAGAAAGAGAATCGTATACAAAATACAATTACAGTGGAGAAAAAATGAAGATGTAACTATCCCTACAAATGTAGTTGAACCGGAAAAGGTAGGAATTGAGAACGCTGGAAAATCAGAATATGAAAGACAGAAGAGCATATCTTTACGCAACAAGACATAAAAAACACAATTTCGAGGTCTTTGAAAAAAGATTTCTCCGTTTCTTAGATTGCTGTTGATCAGTGGCTATCACAGTTTTCCCAAAGAAAATGATTATTGGGCAACAATGAAAGATATGAACTTGGAATTTTTACAAGCACTTGGTCATCAATAAAACAATGGTTCCTTATCAAAAACATCATTCTGCGAAGATGTTCATAAAAAACAAACCGATTCAGTTTGGTTTCAAAATATGGATGCTGTGTGGGACCGATGGTTATCCATATAACATGGAAATATATTGTGGGATATCACTTGGACAAAGTAAAGAACCGTTGGGAACACGAGTCGTTAATAAAAATGTTGTTTGTTGTTGAAAAACCTGCCCAACATGTAAATTACATTTTAGTAGCAAAGTTGAAGTTCTTTGCAAACTTCACCACAATTTTTTTATAGACAGGTTACGAAGATATTAATATCTAAAATGAGGGGCCTTAACTTTTGACACGTATAATAGCAAGTGTAAAGTCCAAGAAGTAAGATATTTTTAATTTAGTCAGATTAGCTGTGGAAAAAAACTATTAAAAAGATGAGCCTTCACAGAAATACTAAGAAAATGCTTATTGGCATTGTTGGTGACGTCACATCGAAATTTTTAAATGCATTTTCGTTAAATTTTACACTTTTCCGCCCTTTTTTTATTGTAACGACTTATTTAAATCGTCTCCCGTCGATTAATAAGTCGTATTTTTTTTGTAATTTTTGACCGAGTCATGTTTTTCTTTTTGTGTTTCTTAGGTTAGTTAGAGCAGCTGTACTAACTAGTACAAGCTGGAACTCGCCTATTTTCTTTTGTATGTTTTTTTTTATACAATTAAGCTTATTTTCTAATAAAGGCATTTATTATTATTATTAAAAAATTTGTCGATTTTTACACTAATCTTATTCTTGAAAAATTCCAATTATTATTATTTTTTTATTAATTTTATTTTCATATGTATTTACAATATACAATAATACAAGTTGCTATTCATTATAAATTTTTTTTATAAAAATTCTTACCTCATCCCTGCCGACATCTTCTTCATAATTATCTTCGAAATGCAGAATTGAAAATCTGCCTCTTTTTTGTGTTTATTCGATGACAATTGATGTAATATTCAGACATTTCTACAACGTTGTTTTTGAAAAAATGTTAACACCACAATAGAACCTTCTTCGAAGCCAACTCGTCTTGGAATGGAAAGTGATGGAAAGCAGAGTGGCGACAACAGCGGAACTCAACGAAAGAGCTCATGCGTTACAGAAACGACATCTGGTGGCATACATAGTTTGGTTTCCCGGTAATAGATGGCACGGTTTAAATTATTCTAATTTTTAAATACAATTTATTGTTATTAGTTTTAGTTCTATTTAGTTCTATTTGTTAAAAGCAGCATTTAATTACGCAGATTAAAAATTAGTTTTTACCCAAGTTACAACTTCATGGCATATTATTATGGAAAAGTGAATACATAGAATTGAAGTACACAGATTTTTCTACACATTGAAGTATTCCGAAGTATTATTTTTGCGTGGTAAAATTGCTGTATTTGTAACATAAAAAAATCCTAAAGTTTGTTATAAATAGCACTTGATGTATAATGTATAAAGCTTTTACTTTTACGAGAAATTAAACACGAAATTGAGACGCCAACGCCTCAAGAATACTTGCAAAATGTAGGAAAAGATTACGTGTAACTAGACGTAAAATTGAATTGTTATTATTTCGAAATTTGGGTAAAATGGAAAATATGCGATTTCGTCAACATATTGGGAATTCGTAAAGAAATCTGTATAAATCAGTAAAACAAAGCTGTGTCATCCGCCTCATAAATGGCGCTAATTATTAATTTTTTTTTTTAATGCAGTTTATTAAGTGGTTTTCGTGTATATTCGTATATTAATAGTATGGATGTTTAAAAAACAATATTAATCCAAAATAAAAACAAAACATAATAATAATAACTTTATTTAAACAAAGTAGAGCATGGTACAGTATTGATGTCAAAAGAAAAGAAAACAATTAATAATGTTCACATAAAGGAAATGCAAATTACAAATAATAAAATATAACAATTTCAGATGATACATTTCTCGGTTATCCATTCAAAATATTCGTGCACAGTATAGTATTCATTCTCCAAAAGGAAATACTTGACAGTGATTCGAAACTGTTTTACTTCCATACTTCTTGTTTCCCATGGTAGTGCGTTATATAATTTGACGGCTATATAATCGTATGTGTTTTATGATTTGATCACTCGGTGATACGGAGTAATAATATTTTCTTTGTATCGGGTGTTGTGTTCGAGATTGTCTGCGTTTTTCAGCATCAAATCTTTATTATTGTGAATATACTCTAGACAGGAGCGTATAAAAAAGCACGGCAAGGTAAGTGATTTTTAATTTTTTAAATTGGGTTCTACAACTCTCTTGATTTTTTAGTCCTGCCAGTATCCGAACTGACTTTTTTGCATAACGAAAATGGCATCCATCTTTCTAGATGCACCCCACGTAATGATCCCATACGTCACGATAGCATGGAAATACGCGAAGTATACGCTTCGCAATGCCTTGGATGGAAGGTTTGAACATATTGTTTTAAGGCAATACAGACTAGACAGAAAAGGCGACTTTCAGGTTGGAGTTTGGGCCATTTAAGAGTTTCTGAAATAGTAACTCCAAGGAACTTTATGGATTTATCTGTCACTCCATCGCATCATCTTGTGTGAGAGGTAAGTATGTTTGTTTTTTCTTTATTCATCTTTAACTTATTTATGTAGAACAAATGCTCAGCTTTTTCTATATTTTGTTTTGTTTTTTCTTCCAGCTCCTTGATGTCATCATTTCTCCCAATAAAAGATGTGTCATCTGCATAAAGACAAATTCGTTCTGCTGGAACACTACCTGGTAAGTCATTGATATATATGTATAAGGAAAAGTAATGGACCCAAGATCGAACCCTGAGGCACTCCACATCTCACTTCTCTCCAGGTGAATTGTTTGGCCCTTCAAATGACCGATTGTACATAAATCAATGTACATAAATGAACATAAATGTGTACTATAATAGTGTTATAGAAAATAGAATATAAAAAATTAAATAATTTAAACAATAGGTGTTAATTAAATGTTTTTTTTAAATATTCGGTCAGTACTGTTAGGTGGGTGTTGATCAAACCAAATAAAAGACAGTTTTGTTATAATTATATTAATTTTAACTTTATTTCCAGCGCACTTCGCGTAACGTACCCGATTATTTGATTATTAATTACAATTAATTGAAAAATTGCGACACTCCTTACTCGCCAACGCTTAAAAGGGGGAATCCAACATTTATAAATTTCGCTATAACGCTTGGACTTACAAATTTCCCAACGATAGTAATATCCAAAAAGGTGTTGATACACCAATTACCTAAAATTATCTGAAATACAACATAATTTCATAAATTTTTGTTGTATTATTATTTTATTTGGATAGTATTGAGTAGCTTTAGGACGATTTATGGTGAACGGTGAACTTGACGGGCCTCTTGAGGTTCCTGGAATCTTCCTTAACCCTCTTCATCGGATCTAAA